AATACTCTAAACCGTAACTCAAGGCTACTTTTATCAGAAACACTTACCTAGTCACATACTGAGGCACCTTGGAATTGGAAGAAAAACACTACTAGAGAATGCATACAGCTTAGTCGAAACTAGCTGAGAATAGACATGCACTATGTCAATAGGCACCATAACATCGCATCTTAAATGGGACAGAGCTCATGTGCGTATAGGCATGGGGTTACAAAATGAAGGAAGGTCATTTTCGAGAGCAGGCAGCACTATCACGATTTGGAATATCAAAATAAGAAATTATCGCTGCTTTTCTTGTATTGAATCCCTATGGTATGCCGTTCGCATCCTGCCGTTCTAAGATGCTATTATCGAGGTTAGCATATTATTTTCGAGCAGACTTTTCAGGGCTGACGTTTTTATCAAATAAGGCATAACTACTCCCGTACTTCTTCGGCAGTTGTTCGAGCTGCCGATGGCGAAATTGGGTAGGTGTCAAAAATGTATTTTGCATCCAGAACCTCCATTTTTATAGGTTGGATAGAAAATCTTGTTTCCTGTAAAATAAGATTACAACGTCTTAATATATATATATATATATATATGGAAAAAAGAAAGCACTTGTGAATGGTATATACAGAGGTAAATTGGTAGTGGAGAGACACTTACCTTATGTCACATCTAGCCGAAGTCAAAAGCTAGCAAAGCAGTGTGCTGCTTTCATGGATATAAGGATTACTGGAGGGGATTTGCGATGTTCAAAAACTGAATTCACACTTCGCGAGTGTATCTTATCTCGGTCGACTGTCGAAGGTCAATGGGGACCCCCGTTAATCGGCTGAGATGATAAACTGCGTATATTAGATTATTATCAGGTGCCTAAAATGTAAGAATCAGAAGCCTGGGAGTGCTACAAACTACGCGAAGCGGACCAAGAAACGAAGTTTCTCATTGACTCTCAATTCGTTCAACTAATAATCTTCAATTCTCATTTTGCTCGGTACTAAGCTCAGCCACAATTACAGGTTTCACTGGCTTTAGGTCATACGCCTAAGGTAAACGAGTAAAATTTTTCTCTAAGAAAGTGCAATTTATTAAATAGCAAAGATCATGAGAACGGAAGAATATCGTGCAGAATGACGGCGGATACATAATGAACGAATGAATGAATGGATGGATGGATGAATGATTTTGTTACTAGGATTCGTGCAAAACATGAATAATATTGTATGGATGCTTAATCAATATTGCTGTATATGATAGTTTAGAACTTTTAACATTTACAGTGTGACACACTCTATGTGATGGTTCACGCGAACGAGTTTGCCATGTCCTACATGAAAATTGCCAAACTGTATCTGACCTTCAATGTTTTACACCTTCCGAGATGGGTATCTTAGGCTGTCCTTATCCACTTGGTCGCATTACTGCACCGATCTATTTAAGATCGAATTGCCTAATAAGGTTTTCCTTGTTGCGCTGATAAATAATAATTCCAATGCGTCACAATATATTCGTTTGGTATTTTTTCTTTTAACAAACACGCATTACATACAACCAAATCGCTTGAAATTCGGGTCTTATTTTTCATTGCCCATATATCTTTCTCATAACTTCAGTGCACGACCTTTTCTCATGACACGTTTATATTATACAGAATGTGCCAGTAATTAGTACTATAAATCAGGAATCATGCTTCTTTTAAAAGTAACGCATGAATGACTAGATTAAGCGTACGATTGTATTTAATTGAACAAAAAAAAAAGAAACACCTGTATATTGTTTCGATGAAAACATTTATTTGGTTGAACGATGTGACATTTTTGTTACATAATAATAATAATAATAATAATGGTAGTTACCTTTACTATCTCGTTAAAATCGCTTGCAGTCGTTCTTCTGCACATCGATTTATCTATTTTCACATCGATAATCTGTCCTCACTTGATTACATTCTCTCACAATTGCGATGTTTATGTGTAAGTGTGTAACTTTTCTCGGCCTTGAAGATCATTTCAGTTACGAATGATTGCACCGTAGACAACAATACTCATGTTGGTGCCATTAGTTCCTCACCTTTAAACCAATAAATCCACAGTTCGAAAGTACGGTTAGTTACCGATTGTGATCGGTCCTTTATAAATAATCATGGCCTGAATGAAAATATCAGTCATTTGTCGTTTCCGAATCATTGTCTCACCGTGCCCAATGGGCTCTCTGAAGCACTTTTGTGTTTAGTTATCGACATCATTGTGGATAAATGATTCCGGGTCGCCTCCCTTTCAACATCCAGCGGTGCAATAATTATTTATAATATAATAATTAATAGATTATGTACATATGCACCGAGGTGAGAAACAATACGCGTAGTATAGTGTCGTTAGTTAAACGAGATATAGGACAACACTCCATATATTCGTTAAAAAAAACCCATCGTCAGGACATGTAAGGCATACGAGTTCACGTACTTGGCCTACTTACGTAATTACATCAATGCACACATTTAACCGCCTACAAATTAGCCAGCAATTCGTTATGACGATCACTATGTTAGTCGCGACCCCACACATCCACGAAAATACGGTTGACGGTCATCGGGCCCGGTCAGATAATCTGAGTATAAATTGAAACGAACGAAATCGACATGATATCATCTTAACGCTTCGCCAGATTCGTGCAGCAAGCCTCTACTAGTAGCACATCCAGGCAGCCGTTCCGACATAACAACAAGCACTATTTAAGACAAACTTAGACTTCTTCCATAGGCTTGTGCATTACAATACAACGTATGATATTGCTGACTCGGAGGTACACAAATCGTACATTCGTTTACAAAGAAACATGTCCTATTTTGCAAATGAAAGCGAACGGTAAGAACAGACGATAAAACACGTACAATGGCACTACAGTTATAAAGCCAAGAAAAAAAATGCGACGAAAAAAAAGATTCGTGTTCGTGATCGAAACGATCTGCTCGCGGTTGTAGCAACGAATTCGGCCAGTTCTCACTGATCGCATGGTGACGCCTTTATTCTTTCTGTTCAAGCTCATTGCGTGTACCTTCTTGCTTCAGTAACACCACAGCAGGCCGGATTTGGTCACCTGCTGATTGAGTATGCAGTTTTTCATCACACATCGGTATCAATTCTTGCATGAACCTATCGCAACACCTTAATAACGTTAAACTCGATCTTGACGCTCTTCATGTATACATGTTTATAGTGCATTACGAACATAATCGTGTATATATATATATACATATATATATACATATATGTATGTGTAGCAGATTCTGTTCTATCTGCCCCTACCGTTGGCGTCTGGCCTGCAACGCATCAGAATAACTTACTCACTCGGTATTCATTTAAATTAATCCCTGTTTCTTCGTTCATTTTTTGTTGCTCCCGATCCGCACCAATGACGACAGCATGATCACATCACATAATATGTCATGTGATGTGATCATGCTGTCGTCATTGGTGCGGATCGGGAGCAACAAAAAATGAACGAAGAAACAGGGATTAATTTAAATGAATACCGAGTGAGTAAGTTATTCTGATGCGTTGCAGGCCAGACGCCAACGGTAGGGGCAGATAGAACAGAATCTGCTACACATACATATATGTATATATATATGTATATATATATATACACGATTATGTTCGTAATGCACTATAAACATGTATACATGAAGAGCGTCAAGATCGAGTTTAACGTTATTAAGGTGTTGCGATAGGTTCATGCAAGAATTGATACCGATGTGTGATGAAAAACTGCATACTCAATCAGCAGGTGACCAAATCCGGCCTGCTGTGGTGTTACTGAAGCAAGAAGGTACACGCAATGAGCTTGAACAGAAAGAATAAAGGCGTCACCATGCGATCAGTGAGAACTGGCCGAATTCGTTGCTACAACCGCGAGCAGATCGTTTCGATCACGAACACGAATCTTTTTTTTCGTCGCATTTTTTTTCTTGGCTTTATAACTGTAGTGCCATTGTACGTGTTTTATCGTCTGTTCTTACCGTTCGCTTTCATTTGCAAAATAGGACATGTTTCTTTGTAAACGAATGTACGATTTGTGTACCTCCGAGTCAGCAATATCATACGTTGTATTGTAATGCACAAGCCTATGGAAGAAGTCTAAGTTTGTCTTAAATAGTGCTTGTTGTTATGTCGGAACGGCTGCCTGGATGTGCTACTAGTAGAGGCTTGCTGCACGAATCTGGCGAAGCGTTAAGATGATATCATGTCGATTTCGTTCGTTTCAATTTATACTCAGATTATCTGACCGGGCCCGATGACCGTCAACCGTATTTTCGTGGATGTGTGGGGTCGCGACTAACATAGTGATCGTCATAACGAATTGCTGGCTAATTTGTAGGCGGTTAAATGTGTGCATTGATGTAATTACGTAAGTAGGCCAAGTACGTGAACTCGTATGCCTTACATGTCCTGACGATGGGTTTTTTTTAACGAATATATGGAGTGTTGTCCTATATCTCGTTTAACTAACGACACTATACTACGCGTATTGTTTCTCACCTCGGTGCATATGTACATAATCTATTAATTATTATATTATAAATAATTATTGCACCGCTGGATGTTGAAAGGGAGGCGACCCGGAATCATTTATCCACAATGATGTCGATAACTAAACACAAAAGTGCTTCAGAGAGCCCATTGGGCACGGTGAGACAATGATTCGGAAACGACAAATGACTGATATTTTCATTCAGGCCATGATTATTTATAAAGGACCGATCACAATCGGTAACTAACCGTACTTTCGAACTGTGGATTTATTGGTTTAAAGGTGAGGAACTAATGGCACCAACATGAGTATTGTTGTCTACGGTGCAATCATTCGTAACTGAAATGATCTTCAAGGCCGAGAAAAGTTACACACTTACACATAAACATCGCAATTGTGAGAGAATGTAATCAAGTGAGGACAGATTATCGATGTGAAAATAGATAAATCGATGTGCAGAAGAACGACTGCAAGCGATTTTAACGAGATAGTAAAGGTAACTACCATTATTATTATTATTATTATTATGTAACAAAAATGTCACATCGTTCAACCAAATAAATGTTTTCATCGAAACAATATACAGGTGTTTCTTTTTTTTTTGTTCAATTAAATACAATCGTACGCTTAATCTAGTCATTCATGCGTTACTTTTAAAAGAAGCATGATTCCTGATTTATAGTACTAATTACTGGCACATTCTGTATAATATAAACGTGTCATGAGAAAAGGTCGTGCACTGAAGTTATGAGAAAGATATATGGGCAATGAAAAATAAGACCCGAATTTCAAGCGATTTGGTTGTATGTAATGCGTGTTTGTTAAAAGAAAAAATACCAAACGAATATATTGTGACGCATTGGAATTATTATTTATCAGCGCAACAAGGAAAACCTTATTAGGCAATTCGATCTTAAATAGATCGGTGCAGTAATGCGACCAAGTGGATAAGGACAGCCTAAGATACCCATCTCGGAAGGTGTAAAACAT